TCAGCATCTTGGGAGTTAGGAGTTGGCAAGAATGGGTTCCGTGAGAGCCGTCATGGCCTCACATGCTTGTAGCGTAACGACATAGAGTTGTAATGTATTGCGAGGATCATGAAGCAGCGTCCTGGAGACGTGATGTCGCGACTTGATGATGACGAGTGAGTCTTTCGAACCTTATGGTCGCATAGATGAGGAAGGCCGAAGTCACCAACGAGCCACACACCTGCCAATCACTTTAGTCAGCGGCTCCCGCCTGCCACTCAATTCCATCATTCCACCAACTTCGCTTCACATCACATCGAGCACGCATGGAGATGGTATACTCAAGAACCACGAATCCGAATTCCGCACCAAACAATCAAGTAGCTATCCATGAGCTGTGGCTGTTGACATGACAGCCTGCATGCCCCAGCGTTCCTTTTCTCATCAGGCTAAATGGAACAGGGGCCATCTTCCGCTCATGCCGTACCCCCAAACACCAGAACACGAAAGATGCAGCAACGTTGGCGCAAACCTCACGAATGCCTCCCAAAGTATCAAAACGCCCTTGGCCGCAGCATACCAGTGTGCTGCGTATCCTCAGGCGCGGCTCCTCCCCCTTGGGCATGTCCCGCGCGCTTTGACATCCGCACTCTTCACATTCGCACGGCGTTGTACACCTGCTCGCGGGCAGGAACCCGGTACGTGTCGAAGAACCTAGGAGTGTAGAAGCTCCGGGCACCAATTTGCGCAAGGTACGCCGAGAATCGCTCGTGCGACCTCCACACCGACTGAGGGCAGCCAGGCATGCTGATGATCCGCTGCACAGTCAGAAAGTCCAGCGGATACTCGGTGATTTCGACCCAGCTGTTCGGGGGGTTGAAAGCCATCTTATCCCTCGTGTCGTTGATCATGTTGGGCCAGCTCCATGCGACTGTGGCCAGGGGGGGCTTGCCGGCGCGGTGGCGGACGAGAATGTCCAGGCGCTGCCAGATGGTCTTGTCGTGCCATTGCGCACACTCATCGACGAGGTGGCGAGTAGAGTTGCAGAGCGGGCAGACGTGCGTGAAGCCGCTGGGGCCCGGTACGGTGCAGTAAGCGGGATGGTGGCCGAGACCTCCGCAGTTCTGGCACAGCTGCCAGCTTGGTTCTGGTCCGAGGCTTTGATCCGGCAACAGTCTCGTGACGAATGCTTCCTGGGATGCGTCCTGGCCCATTCGCATGGCACCATGAGAGACAGGGAACTCGCCGGAAGGGGCACGAGAGCGAGACCTTCTGGGGTGAGAGGCATTGGTGTGGAAAGGAGCTTTCGTGCCGGACCGCGCGATGCCTGCCGAAGCCGGTCGGCAGAAGAGACCACTGCCATCCCAGTGCTCGATGACAGGGCGGTTCCCGGATCGCTTCGAGAGGTCGCCGAGGGCGCTGATGACCGACAGCTCCCCTCCAGGACCTCTCTCTTCGAGAGCGGCAGCCATCCTCTCAGCCCAAGCCATGAGGGCCTCGCGAGTATGGATGATGGCCACTTTGGTTGCACCGTTCAATGTCTGGCCGACGGTGTTATGGCGTCGACCGCCATCGTGAGTCGTCGGGACGATGCGGAAAGCACGCGCAGAGCGGTCGGGGTCGCGCTGCTCGAGGTCGACACGGAAGAGAGAACCCATATCGCTGAGCAGGGGGAATGAGGTCTGGTTCGAACCCCGCCATTGGCTGGCCTCCTGGTGTTGGGTATCACGGTCGCGGTACCTGGGCTGGCTTGTGTGCCGAGGCGGCGATCGACCCCTGGTCCGAAATGGCAGGCCCCGATGTGAGTAGTCGCTCCGCGAGGGTTCGTGGCTAGCCTCAGCATCACCGAGGGACTTGAGTTCACCTCCGCCCATGGTGACTTTTGGACCTTTAGTAGTGCTTTGTATGTCGCCTTGCTAGACCAAGGTTGATGCCGAGAAGGTGTTGCGATAGGCAGAGAGTTGCTGCGTGTGACTACACACTTCGTTCAGCAGCGATGTCCGAAGGAGGGAACTTGCGGAAAGGGAAAGCGCGCTGTTTCTTCAGCGAGTTCTCTGAATGTTGAATATGCCGGGTCTTGGGCAGGAGGTCGGTCACTGAGGCAGGTGCGATCAACCATGTACTGTGTGACGTTCCGATACCGATCCCACACTGTGGATGCTGTCACCATTTCAGTACGTGAATGGATAACTGGGCGGGCATTGAAGCGCGCAGAGCGTCCCATTCACTGATGGCGATTCATTCACATGGCTGTATTACAGTGACGGTGTCGTCTAACGCATAGAATCTTGGTGCTGCACAGCAAGTCATTGATGTGTGGAATCGACCAGTGCCTCGTTCGTAGCACAGGTCAGATGTTGTAAACCCGTGGACATGGCGGAGTTACGTGGCTACCTCTGTCGCCGGCTACTTCAACTGCATCTGCGGCAGTGTTTCGCACCAAGTTTAATACCTGTCTGCTCAGACCTGTTGCCGCCTATCGTTGTTTCGTGGATTTGCAGCCGAGAGCTTGGCCAGATATGTCAGCTTGGCCAGCTTGTTGCATTTGATGATAGCAGGCATCAAGCCGACCCTCCCAAGCAGCCTGCCTAATCTGGCCGCTGTCCAGATATCCATAGGGCACTCTGTGTGCATGGACTGGTTCCCATAAGCTTACAGACTCTCTTACTGAGGGTACTGATGCTTTGGCTTCTGCAACCCCAACAGAGCCAGGCCGAGGCAGCCAATAATACGACAAAGGGAGACAGGCGCAGAAACGGCGCAGGAAGGCGATCGAAACAGGTCGGCCGAGGCATGAATGCCAAAACACTGTTGCCTGGAAGTCTAAAGCAAGGCCTTGCCAACTACAACATCGTCTGGACCCTGAATCTAGACCTCGTGTTTGCTAGGGCAGCGAGGAACCCATTTCCCATTTCGTGCCAAAGTCCTAGCTTGCCGGCGGGTTGAGCCATGGCGCGGAATGTAGCGCGGCCCTAGACACCGATTGTTTGTATGCCGACTGCCGAAAGGGACGGCTGGCCTCATGCTATTTCGAGAGCTTGGTACACAAGCTTTGAGGTCGACGCATGGCGGGGGCCGCACCCGCACCACCGGCTTCGGTATAAACTTCTCCCTGACCTGAGGAGGTGCAGCGAGGGTACACGATGAAAGGATTGTTAGGGTTGCCAGACTCCCATATTCACGAGGGATTGGCAGGGAGGACGGGATATACATGTAGGACGACATTGGGCATGGATGGTCGTTGCTCGACCCCTCCCCCCCTTTTTCTCCAAAAAAAAAAGCCAAATCATCAAGTTTGTCATGGCCCGCAATTGAGCCAGGGGGTAAATACTTAGTTAGCTCACCGTACAGTTGGTTGAGAATGGTGCAGTCAATGACAACGAGATTACGCTGGCGAAAATCAATGGTATAGATTGACATCGTCATCTTGAGTCGCAACTGTCAAGGGACAGCATGATGCAAGGCTGCATGAACGCGTCGCGTTCTTGAATGGCAAGCTTCTCGAGCAGACAAATACCTCCCTGCATGAGTTTACGAGACCTGGGCTTCTGTCAGTCAGATGCAACTGAGTCGTGACAACAAGAGCGGTGGGGGCCTCGTGGCTTCTGGAACGGAGATGAAGGTCCTGACGGGGAGATCACATGCTGAGGTGGAGCTAGTTCGCGGACTGCCTGAATAGGAGATATTTTGGTACATGGTACGTTGCTGATATGATTCGGGTGGTCATGATTTCTTGCCAGTGTGGACGATGTCGCGGTCGCAGGCATCGTGCGCGCAAGATGCTGGACGTGACCCAATCGCGATCCACGTTGGGGTCGCACTCTGATGATTCACCAAGTTCATTTCGCTCAAAGAAGACAGGACAGAGGAAGTGCCAGCCAGCCAGTTACCGCCCCCTACTCGTACCTAGGAACGCCGAAACGAGGCGTGTCAACACTGTGAACGGAGTCCGCCTCCACCAGTGGAGCAGTCTGATACTCCGAGGCTGAGTAAATGAACACAAAACAAGCTCAGGCGTCCCCGCAAGTCAGCCTGCCACCCAGTCGGAGCTCATGACTGATCGAGTTGGTTGATCGCCCAGTCCTACCGTACAGAGACATGCAACCTCAGGAGGTGCAGCTCCCAGATCCTTACTGCTTTGGCTTGTGTTGCCTGGATGGTCTTGGTGGTGGTAGCAGCGCAGCTAGCCGCGTCATGTTGAGAAAACCCTAATACGAGATGAAGATCCCCCGGGGGGGCGGCAACAGCAGATGTTTGATAGTTGACAGGATGTCGTGTTGATCGAGGTTGGCCATTTGGCGGATTGTCAAAATTCAGGAGCACCGGTCATTTCGGTCGTCCGGCACTTAGTTTAGCTTTCGGTTCAGCTTTCATTGAATGTTTGTCGGCTCAGGGTCCAAGATGAAGGACTGGCATTCCACTTCAGGAGTGGTCGCGTGCCTTGAAACGACATTCGCTCGTTCTGGGGCACGAATGAATGCATGCATGCATTGCGCGTATACCTCCCCCCGGGCCTTCCGACGCGGTGCCGCCAGCACCACGCACACAGTACCTACTTGACCTCATTACAACCGTACCACTGAGCCACCGTACCACCGCACCACAGTGTCATGTACCACCGATCTACTCGACTCGGGTGCTGGGATTATTGGGTCGGGTTGGTTTGGTTGGAAGTGAGCTGGACCCGGGTTTGGGAAGTTCTGGGTCCCATACCTCCTTGGCGATGCACGCGATCGGGGCCAGACGAAATGCTAAACGATCCTAACGTGACGACAAAGCTCACAGCCGTAGACGGGGGGATCTGGCAGGAGCGTGGCCTGGCTTGTCAGCATCCTCCCGTCTCGAGAGATCGGTCAGTGGGAGAAAAGGAAAGGGGGGCGCTCAAGAGATGAAATCCGCTGGTTGCTTGTTCACTGCAAACGGGTATTGGATCCTCTTCCGCTCAGGTTCAGGCTCAGGCTCAGGTGCAAATGTTCGTATTACGACATTTTCGTGTGGTCCACTTGGTCCAGGGTCCCGACTAATGTGTGTGTGTCGTATTGCGCCCTGCCGAAGCCCCTGACAGGACGCTGCAGGGGGGCGAGACCAGCCTGGCATGGATTAGCTCGACGCTGGCAGCTCGATCAGGGTGGCGCTGCCACTCCACGTTGAGAAGGTCCCAGCTGGTCGACTTGCTGCTGCCTTGGTGGCGCTGGCGGACCGGGACTGACACGCCTCACCTACATGTACCTAGGTACTGTACAATAACACGGGCTCTCCGCAGACGGCAGGCACTATGCCCATCCATTTCAGCGATCCCATCAAGCCCATCCACCGACGTCCGCTCCTGTAACACTAGGTACCCGGTCGACTAGCGCCCAAGCTGATCTGTGCGCTCGCGTCTGTCCACACAAGGCCATGAGATCATCATTAGCACACGATCAATGGAGAACAGGGGGCAGGGTGTGTGTCCGTGTGTGTCTCTCTCACTTTTGGAGGGGTGGACAGCCAGTACATGGTACTGGGGACCCAGGAATGGAGGAAGGTTTACGAAGGGGGACAGGGCCGACCTTTGATGGAAGAAAGAACGCCGTGCAGGGTCACACGAAAGGCAAGAAAGGAAGGGCTGGCTACCCTGCGGTAAGACAAAGGCACGCGAGCACCTTCTGCTACTTGCTGCTGCTGGCTGGTGCGGCTCCCTCTGCTGTGAATGAACACCGGCACTGCCTTCCCGCTGTCCACTGGCGCGCCGCTGCCAATCCCATCCATCCCATCAGCTCACCTCAGTCCACAGCCTAGATCTGGTCTGGCCTGGTGTGCTTCTGTCAGGTCCGGCCGGCCAGTGTGCATCTGTGCATCTAGATAGATCTGCTTTCTTCCCCCTTCTCTTGTTTGCTCCTTCCACCTACCTCTTCTCTCCTGCTCCTGCGTTCCCACCGCGAGCCAGGCACGACTCGACCTAAAGTTCTCCTTTTCCTTCCTTTGCCACCTTCGTTCGGTCTGCCTGCCTGCCTGCCTGCCTACCCACTCGCGTGTCTGGTTCTTGACTGGCAGTTTCCTGGCTGGCAGCTTCCTCGCTCTGGCAATCGCATTTCCTGCTCCGAATCCATGGATGACTTTCAGGTCCTGTCACCATGCACCTACCGGTCGTTTCCTTGCTCTTCGCCGCCCTCTGCACGTCTCTCTTCTTCACCAAGCTGATTCTGCTTCTCATCCACGCGCCTACCATCCCCGTGGCTTCGACCCTCTTCTACCTGCCGACCTTTTTTCTGCCCGACTTTCTCGTCATATGCGTCGCCAGATTGGCTCTTCGTCGGGAAAAGGGCCGTCTGTCGTTGATCGCGTGTGTTGTCGGATCTTTGCTGACGTAGGTTCCTCCCTCAGCTCTCCGCCCCGCTTGTCGGGGGTGCGCGCGCACACTCGCATACCCCCCCGTCCCGTCCCCCCCTATCTCCCATCCTTCGAGCGACAAGCCGCCCGCACCCTTGCCTTTGCTTTTGCCCCTATCCCCATCCCAGCCATGCCGGCCAAGTCTGACATTTGCTTAGCGTGGTGGTGGTTGGAGCCGCATCATCCACCCTAGGTTTCTTCTATGAGACAGGCAGCGAGCTCGAATGGCACTCGGCCGCCACCTTCGCATTCGAGAAGGAAGCCAGAGATGTCTTGCTCAGCGGTCTGCTGCCTGTCACGGCATCCGCCCTGTTCATTCTCTCCGTTGCGTGGTTCACCCACCAAATCCTTTACAAAGCCGCCGGGGACTTCCTGATTGAAGCTGGCTACTGTGTGGTTTACGGTATGCTCTCAAGAAATATTGCGGCTGATCAATCCGTCTTTGCTAATCTCCAAAACCCAGCCTGCAAGCAGTTTCTGAAATCACGCCAGGTCCAGGATGTCGAAAAAGACGCCGAATCTAGCCGCAGTATGTTGCACAATGGCGACGGCGAGGACAACAACGGACAGCAACCCAATGCGCCCGCCGACATCGACAGCGACGACAGCGACGATTGGGGCAACCCTCCCGAACTACGGGAAACCAAGTCTTCCCGATCCCGCTCGAGATCCAGTTCTCCCCAATCGCCATCCCGACCTTCACGTGTGCCTTCTTGGAGGCTCAAGGCTGCAGCACTAGGCTTTTTCGCCTTCGCCATGATCTTACGACCGCACAAGCCCTTCGACCACATGTCTGTCACGCTCCCCGTCGCCATGCTCGATATGTTTTCTTTCGGCGGCCCCCCTCGGCACAGCTGCATGGGGGCCGGACATCATGGCCTGAACGACTGGCCCTTACCCGAGTTGACGGAGAAGTCTCGGTGGAAGATGCCCAAGGGGAACTTCAAGGGCTGGGCACCAGGTGATAAGAGCCCCATGGCCGATGCTTACCAGCACCGAGTCGTTGACTGGGTCATCGAGTCGATGCCACGCGGTTTCCTTCGATGGGACCGCGCAAGGTGGAGGGATCACGGCCCACCACATCCTCACACTCACGATCATGGCCCGCCCGGCCATGGCCCACCCGGGCACCCTCCGCCTCCTCCGCCGCCCCCTCATGGAGGCCCCCGTGGAGAAAGGCCCCCTGGGCCACCTGGGCCACCCGGGCATCATCCTCCCCCGCCTCCGCCTCCCGGATGCCCGCCTCCAGATATCCAGCAGTCGTTCTACAACCCTGTAGACGATCCCCTACGCATCACGAACCTTAACGACGACATACTTAAGCCGTTGAAAGACAGCCTCGACAAGGACGAAGTCAAGATCAAACATGTGGTCTTTATTCTCATGGAGAGTTTGCGCTCTGAGGTCTTTCCCATTCGACCGAACACCAGCTTCCACGACATGATTGTGGAAGCTAACGAGGAGGAGAGGAGGGATGAGATCAAACTTCGACTGGCCCAGATGACTCCCAACATCGCCAAGATTACAGGATACACGGCAGACTTCGAAGGGTTTGAAACACCACCAGTGTCCTGGGCAGGGCCGTCTCAGCCCGGTTACGGAGGTATCAACGTGCTTGGAGCGCTAACAAGCAGCACCATGTCCACGAAGAGCTACTCAGCCAATCTGTGTGGCACGTGGCCCATGGCGGTGGAAAAGTTTGACGAGGCCGACACCGACGCCTATCAACCGTGTCTCCCCCAAATCCTTGATCTCTTCAACCGAGACAAAGACGGCAGTGGCAATCCCGACCCTGCAAGCGATTTCCGCCAGCAAGAGTGGCGTCCCGCACTGTTCGAGGCAATGACGGAGACTTTTGACAGGCAGGACAAGTTTGACAAGAAGATTGGGTTCCAACATATTGTGGCCGAGAAACAACTCAAGGCAGACAAGTCGCGGTACAAGCCTCTCGAGCCACTTTACGAAAAGGTCAACTACTTTGGCTTTGCCGAACCCGTCCTCGTCCCCTACCTGAAGGACTATATCAACGAGACAGCGGCGAATAACGAGCGCATGTTCATGATGCACTTTACCAGCTCGACCCACCATCCCTGGGTCACTCCGAAAGCGTGGAATACGACCGATTATTTCGAAAGCAAGGGCATCAAACACCGGGATCTGAACAAGTTCCTCCAGACCATCAACTACCACGATGCTTGGATGGGCAATTTAATGCAGCTTTTTGAGGAGACGGGAATCGCCAATGAAACTCTCGTCGTGTTTGCAGGCGACCACGGCCAGGCCTTCAAGGAGGACTGCAAGAAGCAGGGTACCTTTGAGAACGGCCACATCAGCAACTTCCGCATCCCCATCGTCTTCTCTCATCCCCACCTACCCAGGATAGAGTACGAGGCGAACGCGACTTCCCTGTCCATCCTCCCTACGATCTTGGACCTTCTTATTAATACTGGATCTCTCAACAAACATGATAGCAGCGTCGCATCTGACCTCGTGCACGATTATGAGGGCCAGTCTCTCATTCGACCGTACAAGGCGGCGGACAACGGCCGCCGCGCGTGGAACTTCTCCATCGTCAATTCGGGAGCTGGCATGCTCTCCATCACCTCGGCAGACACCACTTGGCGACTCCTGCTGCCCCTCGTGGAGACTTTTGAGTACAAAATGTCCGACCTACAGACAGACCCAACTGAGCAGGATGTGCTTTCGGCCTGGTCGCTGAGGAGCCTGGCCAGTGGCGTGCGAAAGAAGCACGGAGAAAGCGCTGCTGATTGGGTGAAAGAGGCTGAAATCGTCGCGCAATGGTGGATGAAAGAACGGCGGCGCCTCTGGAGGCACTCTTGAGACGAATAGAAGATAGAGAGCGGAAAATGATTTGTTTACCTGTTGAATGCACGTGCTGCGATACTCGGGTGATGGCTGTCAAAGCAGGAAATTTGCAGCGGCATATCGAAGCTTCGCACCGCGCGCGATTCCAGTCAGGGAACCACCGCATCAGCGCATAGCCAGTGGCCGGGACATGTGAACAACAGAGACCATGTACCAGGCATCGCCCATGGCAAACACAGAAAAAACGAACGCGCCTTGGCTATGTTCGCTAAGCTGTACTACCTCTTTTCCAGGCGCCAATGATGCATCCTCGCGAGCTCTTACCCCGCATCCGCCCGTTCACCAGGGTCACCTAGCGCGTTGTGGTAGTGGTGTGGACCAGCTGGATTCCCCATATTCATCGACTGGGTAGACGAATCTCAAGGCACTTCACCCCCCCTGCTGCCTTTTGTTCGAGCAAGAAAATGGCATATCCGCAACTACACCGACAAAGATTTGCATCTGGCGTTGTATGAGAACCAGAAATGGCTCCTAGCCCCGAGGGGAACGATGCTGCTGCCCGTCGTGCCAAGAAGCGCGAGCTCGACCGCCGGTCCCAGCGCGCGGCGAGAGAGCGAACCCGGACTCGCATTGCACATCTGGAGGCCACCGTTCAGGCCATGGCACAGCAGGAATCGAGCGGTACCATCGCAAGTCTCATGGACCAGCTCGTCGAAACGAGACGCCAAAGGGATGATCTGTCTAGATTGGTCTCCTCGATCGAGACGAGCGTTCACGCCCACCGGGAAGCTGAGAGAGTCGCGGCGGAGGGCGCCGAACAACCACAGCCGCCCCAAAGCAACACGCATGGGGAGCAGTGGCCCGGAATAGACGAGTCGGCTCTCCTGCAGACGCAAGCTCTGCCGATAGAGATGCTCTCACCAAGCGCCATCATGGACCTGACGCCCCTTCCGTCCGGTGACGTCTTTGGCCTCCCTACTGCTGACTTTCTGGATCACATACCATCCCCAGAAGCTGAATCGCTTCGACATGGTGAGCTCGCCGAACTTGAGGCACCCCGGGTTCCTGAATTCGTCATTGTGCCAGAACCAGACAAGCCATGCGACTGCACTTCGCCTGGCGTGCTACCAGGTCGGTCTCCGTCTTCCAACCACAGCATCTGGCGCACGGCCAATGAGGCCCTCAGCAGTCCAGGGCTTCTGCCCGTCCAGACCTTGCGGCACGAAGACGGCCTCGGCGAGGACGTTCCAGTTCAGGTCATCTTGGAAGGTTGGGACGCGGTCGAAAGCGCCCGAAATGTGCCGCCGCTTTGGAGAAAGCTGCGCCGGACAGACGAGCTTCAGTTCAGCAGCTGCGGCAAGGTGGAGCGGTTGGCGATACTGTTGCTGATGCATACGCTCCTGAGATACCAAGCGGAGCCCACGGCGGATCAGTATGCGAAACTGCCGCCGTGGTATCTGAGCAGGTACGGTATTTCCTGAAGCTGGCCTTGCGAATGCTCTTCCCTTCTTCTGTTGCACGTGGAGCTAACCCGAAAAGACCGTCGCAGTCATTGCCGCACTCGTCGGCCATTGACTTTTTTGTGTGGTAATGCAATCTGTTCCTCTCCTCGCAAGAAATGAAAAGCAAAGGCACAAAAAAGGAAAGCACGATTGTATGCTAAGTTTGATCCCAGGCCCGGCGTTAGAGAGCGCTTCGTATTCTCGCAGCACCAGTACTGCTCCGACTTTTTCTGGAAGGTATTCGCGGACAACTTTCGGCTGCTGTGGCCGTTTGAGCTGCGGGACTGTTACAGGCGGAACTTGCGGACAGGGCTATATAGCATCTCGCCCGACTTTTCCGAACGTATACGTGATATCCAGGCCTGGGCGATGGCGCCGGACTTTTTTGTGCACTTTCCGGAGATGTATGCGGACATTCCCGTCTTTCAATCTGTTCCAGCAAGTGTGCCGTCGTATTGGAGGGGCGGGCGGTCGAACGAAGGGCAGAGTTCTCGGCGCCTCATGGCGATCGACTATCAGGACGGGGATGAAGTCGAGAGTGCTCAGGGTGACGGGCAATTCGTCCGAGAGCAAAATGTACAGAGGGGGGCGAGTCTCTGGCCATGATCCGAGAATACGTGATGCCTGGCCGGCATGTAATATGAATCCATCGTCTCGAGATACCTTGATCGCATGGGCCTTGGTCACCCGTGCACATGCAAGCAGACCACAGGTTCAGAAAGGATGTGTACACGGATGCTCATGTTTTGAAATTACTCTTATTGTTAGGTACGACTCAATTGTGAGTGTTTGCCAAGATCATCGGCTCCCATGAACACTTCTACGCAGGCGCCATTACGCCGAATGAGATGGCCGCTTACCGCAGGTCGTTCATCGATAAACGCTCCGCAGCAATTAGCAACTTTGAGCTTCAAAGCCAGCATGATATTCAGAAACAATCTCACGTACGAAACTCTAGACCATCATATGTGGAGGCTCCCCGCACGTTGCGAATAAAGAGACCCGAGGTTGACGCCGGCTCTGGGTGTTTCTTGGCCTTACCCCGCCGCACCATAACACATTCGAACGGACATCATTGGCCGCCACGACGAGCATTCCCATCCCTTGGTATGACTCTGGCGCGCTGACTCCGTGGCAGAACGCAATGACTGCTCCAGGCACGTCTAGACAGTTGGCTCCAGCCGATGGCGGCTCTGACACCAGCATTCAATGATAATCCCCCGCAACGTACCCCATGGTTTCCCCAGAGTTACCCCGCAACATGAGATGATTTGACGATCTCATGGACTGTTTTCGTATCTATGATGTTTAACTAATGGTGAAGACTGTCTTGGCGGTCGACCTACAAAAGAGATGGCCATCCCAACCGCATTCTCGGGACTGCAGATCACACAAATGCGCTGGTGCTTGACAACAGAGAAGCAGCACTCGCATTTTCCTCATCCAACACAACCGCAACCGAAACACTACTGCCATGGCGGCGCAACAAGCTCCAGATGGCCTTCGCACGCGCCATTCCGACGAGGAGTCGGGCAACTACCGCGTCGAAGGAAAATTCGAAGGTTCTGCGCATGTGGAGGATGCTGAGAAAAACAATATTGCCGCTGTCAGCACGCATGGCCTCAGTCCAGAAGAACAAAAGAAAGTCATGTACGTATTGTTCATGACCCATACAAGCTGTACGAATTGTAGCTGACGGGCGACATTGTAGCCGACGCATCGACGTTCGACTCCTCCCAATTCTCGGTCTCATGTATTCAATCTCGCTGATCGATCGCACAAATCTGGGCCTAGCTCTCGTTGCTGGCCTCCAAGAAGACCTGGGACTTCACATTGGCAATCGATACACTGTTATAGTCATGGTGTTCTTCGTAGCCTATATGTATGGAAGCCCTCTGTCGCCTTGTCGAGCGACGCTCTGCTGACCTGTGTCTAGTCTGTTTGAAATCCCTAGTGTAAGTGTTGAAGAGCATAACGAAAAGACACTGAACTAACTCCGCAGAACCTCATTCTGCCTCGTGCTGGTCCAGCAAATTGGCTTGCCTTTCTTGGTGTTGGCTTCGGCTCTGTCCTACTCGGTATGGGGTTCACGAAACACTGGGGAACCATGGCGCTCTGTAGAGCGCTTCTGGGTGTACTAGAAGCGGGATTCCTACCGGGTAAGTTAAATTTTCCGAAGTAAATTACCAGGGAATGGTGCTGACAATTTCAGGTTGCACATATCTCATTACGTGCTGGTATACCCGTTTTGAGGTTGGAAAACGACTATCGGGATTTTGGATCATGTCCGTTGTCCTCAGTGCCTTTTCAGCCATCTTTGCCTATGTTCTTGCTTTGCTCGACGGAAAAGGCGGGCTCGCTGGTTGGAGCTGTAAGTATTTCATCATCCTCAAGAACATCATGGAGACAGTTGCTCACGCCACCAGGGATCTTCATTATTGAAGGTGCAATCACTATCGTTGTCTGCGGATTCGGCTGGTTCATCATTATCGATTTCCCAACAAAGGCTGGCAAGTTCCTCAAGCCAGCCGAGCAGGCATTCGTCATTGAGCGCATCAACAACGACCGAGGCGATGCCGAGGATGACGGTGTCAATGCCCGCAAGATCTTGAAACATCTCAAAGACTGGAAGTTGTACTTTTGGGCCTTCAACCTCATGTCTTCGACCCTGCCAGGCTACGCTTACTCGTACTTCCTACCCATCATCCTCCGAAACGGCATGGGTTTCAGTCGCACCAACTCGATGCTTCTCAGCGCCCCGCCGTATCTCCTTGCCGCCATCATGGCCTTCGTGTCAGGCTGGCTCGGCGACAAGTACAAGATCCGCGGACCGATCATCGCTGTGCATCAGGCGATCACTGCTGTGGGCATGCTGATTACCGTCTACGCCAAATCGAACGCCGCTCGCTACTTTGGCGCGTTTCTCGGTAGGTCCTACCCATGACAGATCCGCTTCATCGCGGCGGGATATCTGTTTTCTATTTTAGCAATCACTGACATGTCGCAGGCATCGGTTTCTTGCAGTTCTGCGTTCCCGGCGTTCTGACGTTCCAGGCCAACAACATTACATCCCACTCTAAGCGAGCCGTGGCTTCAGCAACGTGCCTCATTGGTGGCGGTGTCGGAGGCATTATCTCAAGTGTGGCCTTCATGGCGAAAGAGAGCCCGCACTATACCGTGAGTACTCCTGCTTTCTGGCCTAGCTTTCTCGAGCTAATCATGAACGACAGACGGGTGTGTGGACCACGTTCGGCATTTCAATGACCAGCATCTGCATGATCATCATCATGGATCTTTACTTCTGGCGGCTCAACAAGGCTGTGAAGGCAGGGACTCGTCTGAACGAAGGCATGGCAGGGTGGTTCTATACGCTCTGAGCTAATCGATCGAAGCTGGAACAGACAACCGCAGAAAAGGGCGGTTGAATAAATTTACAATTCGCTGCCATCTTCTGAGCTGTGGGATTGAGTGACTCAGCATCGAAACATTCGTGGCGGGCTTCCGTGTTATGTGTGATGAACAGCCACAATGACCAAGCTACGTGACCACTTGGATGCTGGAAGTTTTGCTAGGTAAAGCCAGGTTTAAAGTGACAGTCCGCCATTAGGAGACTCTTCTTGGGTTCTATTCCGCCTGGACATCTCACCATTTCATACCTGGGGTACCTAAATCGATGATCATACTATTTGATGCGTATCCCTGTAGACCTTCAGCGGGCTTTCCGGCATGACTATCCACTCGGGTGTTGACGGTGGCTTGTATTCAAGAGATCTGCATGCGATGAAACGAGGTGATTCGGATGACCCAGTCTCTCAGTTCAATCGGGATTCCGAAATTGGAGATAGCTAATTGGTTCGGACCCGCCATACCCGGAAGGAGCCCGGAAGCACTCCGAGAAGCCACGCCCACTGCCCATGGTGCTTAGGATAACCATTTTCATACAGACTAAGCTTGCCTCCGTCAACTAGAGGGCCTATTCTTAATCTCATCATCTTGCTTCGTACTGAGGTGGCCTGCCCTCTGAGTTTGGAAAGAGCCTTGACGTGATGCACCTCGTACCATTGAGGTCTGCTCAAGTAGTGTAGAGAAAGAGATGATCCGGAGGTCAAGCCTACCTAGCCAAGAGATGTTTGTCTGCTGCCGCGTTTTTTTTCTGACATGAAGAGCATTGTCGCAAATCATTTCTTTCGCAGGCGCCAGACCCCTGATGTCCTCAACGCCACCAACCTCTTGCTCACGCAAATCGGGTGCAGTGCAAGTGAAGCCGTGCTCAAGGATGTAGGCTTGACCAGAGTAGGCATTTATAACCACGGCTTAGCGCTATTCCCCACACTTGGTGGGCTAAGCTCAAGAGTCTGGGGACATTTTGCGGGGACAGGTGGTGGACGACTACGTGGGGGAAGACGAAACTTTCTTGAATGATGCGACTGCCGAAGCCGTGAACTATAAGACGTCTCGATGACCCTCCAAGATTCGAAGTTGAATGCTACCACAAACAATCTCGATCAGTACAACGCGAACGAGCCACGTCGCTTTCTATGATGGGTTCCAGATCAGAACATATCGTTGAGCACTACAACGGGGACCATCCAGACAGCCGCAATGACGCCGTCCTTGCAGCGACCGCTGCTCTTCCGCCTGGCCACGCTCATGAAAAGCTGACCTGGGCAGATCTATGGGCGAACAAGCGTGTTCTGAGCTTTTGTGGGTGGTCTTTGTTGATCCTGGCGATGCATGGATCCTGTGAAAGAAACCGACCGCTAATAATGTCCCTAGGCCTACTCATCTACCTGCTCCCAATCAATTTTGGATATGAAGTCGCAACGATTGGAAAGCTTCTCGCCGTTGTGCCGTTTGCCGAGCACTTTGGACATGAGGTCAATGGCATTTACATCATCTCCGCCCAAAATCAACAAATCCTCAATGCTGCCGGCACCATCGGCCTCTTCGTCTCTGCATTTTTTACCGGTATCATCAGCGACTACATCGGCCGCAAGCGGACCATCATCATCGCGTGTGTAGTTTGCTCCGGTGGAGTTATCCTCCAATATTTCAGCACGTCCATCATGATGCTCTTTGGGGGCAAGGTCGTCGCGACGCTCGGCTTCGGTCTCGGCCACTCGCTGGGACCCGTGTTTGTCGCCGAACTGGCCCCCGTCAAGATGCGCGGTGTCTGCTTGGCGCTCGTGGTATGAACAATTTTCCTCCATCGCCAGGGGAGAGCAAGACCGTCTGACAGAGTCGTGCAGAATACCATGATCGTTATCGGCCAGTGGCTCAATTCTGTCGCCGTGCTTGGCAGCAAGCACTACAACAATGACATGGCGTGGCGCATCCCGCTCATCACACAGATTGTTCCGCCTGTGCTGCTGCTGATTGCACTCACCATAATTCCAGAGTCACCCACTTGGCTCATCATCCACGGCCGCCCAGATGAGGCTGCTAAGTCTTTCCGCCGCTTCAACGGCCCTGCATTCGATGTCGACGCTGCCATGGCCGTCGCTACCATCGCAATGGAGAAGGAGAAGGCTGCTAAGAAAGAGCAAGAGGGAAGCAGCTGGATTGAGTGCTTTCGTGGCATCAACGGGCGCCGAACCCTCATCATCGTCATGGTTTATCTTTCCCAGCAGACGATCGGTGTCAACTTCATCAGCGGCTATCTCACATACTACTTCCGGCTCGCTGGTGTAAACGATCCCTTGGCCATCGGACAGGCTGCCTACGCCATTCAGCTCTTCGGAAACATGTGTTCCTGGCCACTTGTCGACCGTCTTGGTCGCCGTCCGATGATCGTCGGCGGTGTCTTCATCATGACCGCACTTCTTCTCGTCATTGGCGGCATCAGCACAATCGGTTCCCAGGCTGCTCTTAGCGCAACCGTCGCGTTCATGTGCATCTGGGGCTTCCTTTACCATGCCACTCTTGGGGCTGTAGCCTACACGGTTGGCGGCGAAACGTCCAGCGTTCAGCTGCGTCAGAAGACCTACAGCATCAACATCATGTGTTCGACTGCCGCGTCCTGCGTCGTCTTCCAGGTCATGCCCTACCTGCTGAATACTGATCAAGCCAACCTTGGCGGGAAGATCTGCTTCATCTTCTTCGGCCTGTCGTTGCCCATGTGCGTGTTCCTGTATCTCTACATGCCTGAGCTCAAGGGGCGGAACTATGCCGAGATTCAGGAAATGTTCAACAACAGGGTGCCTGCGCGGGGTTTCAAGACTTACGTATGCGATGTTAGCTTTGCTGGGGTAGCTGACGACAAGAAAAGCCCGGAAGTCTAAGTAGCGAGGAATCACATGTGTGAGCGTTTGGTTCTCTACCCGTGGTCGCGATTCTGAAGTAGTAGTATCCCCGAATGCAGCAGCAAGTTTAAATGCCAGCAGTTGTAAGGTTTCGAACGCATCTGGTCGGTGAAACGTAGGAAGAAAAAAGGGCTCCCTTGCTCCCTCCGCCGTTCCCGGCAAGGGAAGTTTCTGTCGAAACATCATAATGGTCTCGCGATATTGTTCGGATTTTGTTTGTGACGACTACAGGATTTCAAATCATGGTCCTCCGGGCCTAATCTGAAAGCGAGTGAGGGGAGGTTGGACGGAAGAGGCTCAGGCTAGTGGTACTCCAAGCTTCCCAGTGAGCTGTGGAGCTGGAAACCGCGGGCGGCATTCGCACTCGGCAGGGTGAGAAAGCAAATCGCATTCGGTCCATGCTAGCGCTTTAAAGGAGGTTGCTACCATAGTCACAGAAGCAACGACTTGTTCTGCTGCATGTTATTTTACCATTTCTCGATGGTTACATTCACGATCCCGACGGACTATCACAAGAGTGAAACAAATAAATGGACTGGCCTCCTGGTCCACGTCAGCAACCATGATGTGTACTGTCCAGGCTTGAGATGTCTCTACTCCAACCAAGAATGGCCGCCAAGCCAAGTGTGCTGCCATCAGGCCGCACACGCTTTGGCCTCGCCGGGCCCTCCGTACCGGACTAGGCCTCCTACAAGCCCCTGCTCATAGGACATGTCCGGACGAAGCGCGTGTGGGGTCACGTTTTGACATCAGATGGGGTAGATCTTGGACCCCTGGCCCGATTTGGATGGCATCCACCAACATTGGCTGATCAAACCACGGTTAGGGTCGAGCTCAAGCCCATTGACCATAACAAGATCTCACTCTCCGCGGGTCAAATTGCAAGTAAATGACTGAGTACGCTGAAGCTTGCACTATACATGTTCTGGTCTTGACCCGTGTATGAGAACGTGATCGATGTTGCGGAGTGTCAGGCTCGGCACATTTGGCACACCTTTGATGGGACGTCGATAACCCCTAATCCTACACGGATGCTTCCGAGCCGGGTGGAGTGAGCTGTCGGTTCCGTGAAGACGATATCCCTTGCAGCAAACTCAGTAAAGTACGCATAGTCTTAAGTTCACTAATTCAACCTAAATTCTCGGTTTCGCTTTTTTCGACCCGGCCAATCCTGTTAATGAATGTTGAGCCGAAGGGCACGGCAATCTGCACAAGAGAACCTGGGCAGGCCGGATGTTATGGTCAAAGGCTGCTACAGCATGGGAATACGCGTTGCGCTAAGGGCTGCCCCTTCAATCAAAGTCGCCTGCAGCATTTGACATTCAAGGATCGGCGTTGATGATGCTACTAAGCTTTGGGACAGAGTGACACCAGCAGGCGGACTTCACTTTGACGATACGCGATACGACGGGATCAACTCAACTCCGCCTGTTTGAAATCGTGGTGGAGCGATCATCCCACAACGCCGGATACAACATCTTGAATCCGCCGAGAGTAGGCCTATGAGCACTCATGCCTAAATTAAGCTTCTTGTCGAAGCCTTCCTCTTGACAATGCCGGCATGACCGGGCAGTGCCTAGCCCTCCCAGTCCCAGTATTGTCTCCGAGTCAAGATGACATGGTTACGACTCAGTCCCCCACCTATAGTAGCGTGCTATTTTCTCTAGCACATGCATAACACAATGCATCACAACCCCACAAGAGCAAGTCGTACCCCGGGGCCCAGAAAGCAGGTGTTGGATGTCCGAGCTTCACTGCGGACCCTGAACGCCAACACTTCGGGATATCCGCAGAGGGCCTTGACCCCGCCTCGTGTCAATGAGGGAGGGGAGGCTGATTCCACGTTTGGACACATGCAGTTCCCAGTCTTAGACCCTTTCAAGCATTCTGAGGCCCACCATCTTGTTACGCTCACTGCCTCTGTCAACCCCTCAGCCCTGTGAACGTACAGGTAGGGTGAACTCCTACGTCGTCCGTCAAACCAAGCCCGCTGGCGTTCGGACCCTATCGGGACTTGGCGGGCCAGGCGCAGCGGCACCTCGGTGACCAGGGATGACTCTCAATATCGGCGGCAGGCAGGCCTGCGGACTATGCCGTCCTGTCCTGTCTGTTTCTGCTTGTCGTGGTCCACATGTCACGACTCGAGGTCTTCGGCAAGACTTCACAATGTCTATCTATAAAGTCCAAGGAGGTCGTCGCTCAGAAGATGCTTCTTTCTTCCGGCAAGCAGCTTTCAGCAGTCTTCCGTGTTTACTTGATCACTCTTCCTCCGCTCAAGAACACAGTCTTTCGTTTCATAATTGCAGCTCTGCTTGCCACTCCTTCCTTTAACACACCCCAGGAGCACCGTTACCAATATGAAGGCCGGTTCATCCTTCCTTCTTTCCATCGGCGCTTTGGCAGGCCTGGTCGGCACCTCTTCAGGTGCCGCCGTTCCCGCCGGTCCGCCTGCTATCCTCAAGCCCGTCAAGCGCCCCGGAATCAAGCCTAATCACGGCTATGGCGTCACAGTCCGCGCGGCCGCGGATGTTCCTTCCGTGCCGGAGTTGGTCGAAAAGCCGGCACCCGTCATCCTGAATCCGGTTCGTCATGCGAACATCCTTTCCAGCAAACTAGGGAGTGGACTCAGGCTCAAGACGAGGCAAGAGTCCGTGACGCCAGCCAAGGAAGTCGTCCTGGGATATGCTGGCAGCGAGATGACGGCCCTTGTCGACATTGCTTTGAAGCAGCCCGCTGTGGCACTGGAGGAGGTTGATGGCATTTCCTCGGTAAAGTGCCAAGATTCTTCCGTGACCATCAACTTCAGCGACCTCGCTTCCCTGCAAGCCGCCACGGCAGCCTGGCCCAAGGAGCTTACCGTCCTTACCTACTCCCCAGATGACGGCTGCAACCCGTCCGACGAGCGCGGTTGGTTCGCCCTGTCCGACCTAGTCTTTGACAATGCCAAGCTCGTCACCACGGCAAGCAGCAAGCGCACATCTCTCAACGACGAGGGTGCTCTGGCCACCGTCAGCTTCGACACCAACCCTGCTGCGAATGCCAAGCGCGACATCAAGTCATTGATCACGCCCGACATCATCGGCAAGCTCGCCGACCTGACGGACCTCAAGATCAACATTGACGAGGCGCGCTTCGAGAGCAAGGTCCAGATCGCCGGCAGCTTCGGTTTCGACTTCCTCGACCTCAAGGCGAGCTCCATGTCCCTCGACATCGATTACTCGTCCCTCATCGCCCTCAACCTCTCCGCGCACGTTGGCGCCTCCTACTCGACCGACGTCTTTGACTTTGAGCCCTTCACCGCGTCCATCTCGGCCTTCAGCATCCCCGGCATCCTGGACGTCGGCCCCATCGCCTCATTCGGCATCGGCGTCGAGTTCGCGGCCGAGGGCGCCGTCGACGTCAGCCTCGGCCTCCACAGCGAGATCCCCGCCGGCAAGATCCACCTCAACCTCGCCAACAGCGACAAGTCGAGCACCAGCGGCTGGGAGCCCGTGACGACCATGTCGAGCGATCTCAACGCCGAGGTCTCGCTGCAGCTGAACCCCTACCTCGACCTCAACCTCGCCATCGGCGTGCAGGCCTTCAAGCGCGCGATCGACCTCACCGCCGGCGTCGACCTCAAGCCTCAGGTCATCAACGCCTGGTCTGCCGACGCCAACTTTGAGTACAAGAGCAAGTCCGGCATCGCCTTGGCCCGTCCCGAGGGCGTCACCTGTCCCAATGGCGCCTGGTTCGCGAGCACCTTCAAGTTCGACATTGTCGCCTACATTGCCAACATCTACAGCAAGGTTCTGTATGAGTACGACCACCCTCTGTACAAGTCCAGCTGTTGGAACTTTGCGTGAGAACATGCCCCGCGTGTAGAGCAGCATGTGCACCAAAGCTCTGGTCCGAATTTCATGTTTGCGCCAAGAAGCTTACAGGATCCTGGGTAATGTGGAAATGTATAGCATCATATAGTTTCATACACCTGGATCATCCTTGGCCCTTCCCCCCCGTAAGATTTGATTTATTTCGTCAAGTCACTTGTCTCCAATGTGCCTCTTGTAGATCATGATCCTCCTGCTTGAATCGCCTGAGCGTCTGCTTCAGGTATTGAACCGGCGTGAGCTCGTTCTTAGCTGCCGAATTGTGCCCATTCGCCCCAATTTAGGGGAAGTCCAATGTCGAGGTTGCCCTCCAACGCGTTGTCCGCCATCGTCAGATCGAAGCTGGGGTCGAAATGGCCAAACACATCCATATTAAAATCAATCGAGTCCAGATTCGGCATGCCGTTCATCGACATGTCGAAGTCCTGCGGATCAGCCGAGAAGGCGACCTCGGGTGTCGGCTCACTGGAGATCTCCGAAGCGTTCGCCGCCGGCGGTGCTTCCTGCACGAGCGTCGTGGCGGCACGCTCCATCTCCTTAAGCATGCGCTCGCCCAGGCCGTAGGTGACTTTGGCCGAGTAGAATATATTCTTGAACCGCTTCAGAAGTTCGCAGCTGGACTTGAAAGCGTCGCGCGACCGGGCGCGGAACATTGGCAACGCCGAGTGGCGCATCTTGCGGTACTCCACGCTGAGAGAAAGAGAAACGGCGTAGGGTATAAACGGGACGGGGCTTAGCTTCTCCTTCTTTACGGCGTGGGCGATGCGTTCTGATGCCAGCGAGCGGCGGGCGTTGGCCATTGCTGGAGGGATGCTTGAGGCGTAGGATGACTGATTCGATTCCGCACCAGGTCGTGGCAGCCTACATGATAGAATAATGACGGCGTGATAGAAGACCTCCAGTGTGGCTAGACGTGGTTAGCTCGCCGAACAATGTAAGATGAGGAAATTCAGCTTACCGAGGAGATGGGTCGGCACCTCCAGCGCGTTTGCTTCGACGATCATCGGCTCTAATACAGGCAGCTCGACAAATGGTTTGAGATCGCCGAGAGCATGAGCGCTCGCTGCAGGTCGATACAAATCAATTGTTCTGTCAAGCCATCGCGACATAGACAGGTATAGCCGAAAACATGGCTCCTGTCGACTGAAACATTCCTCTAAAGTGGCCGCAAAGTCTCGCTCGTGAAGCAGTCGCGGCCGACCATAAGCAGCCGCATTGATTTTATCGACCGCCCATACGGCGCAGAAGAGCGTCTCGAGCGCCGGGTCACCGGTGCGCAGCAGGTGAAGGCCGAGGGTCTGGGAATGATGGATTGCCTCGGCGTTGAATTGGGCGGGGACTTCGCTCTCCTGGAGAGAGGACGGCTGGAAATAGAGCGACAGCATGGAAAGAGCCCGAATGTGTACCGTCCTATCGACGATCAAGCTCGTCGCTAGAGTTGTGCGAATAGCACCGGAGAGAGCCTGCGAGAACTCTACGAATGACAGTTTCTCACTGCCCTTGTTACTTAACCTCAAATAGTTCGCCATAGAGGGATCAGTAGCGGCTGCCAAGGAAATGACCTGGCGTAGCACAATGTTGGCTGGAGAATCATTGTCGGACATGGCGGAGTCGGGTACGAGGGCGTAGATGGGATGGATCTTGCGGGTGTAGACTTTCTTCAACTGGCGGTACTCCCTTTCTGGAGGGACACAGGTCAAGCAGTGTTCTTGGACGTAGGGAAGGAGAATCTCGTCGTAGGGAATAGCAGGGTGTGGCGCCGTCACGTTGGCAGATTCTGGCGCGACTGATGTATCGTGTCTTGTAGATACCCAAACACCGACCTCGTCATTGCGAGCTGTGCTTGTGGCACCGTCGCTGTGCGTCACCTCTGCAAACATGCCTTCGGGATTCGTGTCGCCGAGGAAGCGGCTGCCCCTCTTGCTTCCCAGAGCGTCCGAGCCTGTTGCCTCGGCGAACAAGCCTTCTGGGTTGGTGTCGCAGACGAAACGTCTAGACGAGTGCGCGGACGGTGTTAGACCATGGTCCCCTTGGCCGTTGGGAGTGCCATCGTGGTTCCGAGTTCGAGAACCGGGGCTCTTTGAGACATCAGCGTCTTCATCGCCCTCTGTGTGAATGCAGCGCTTCTATGCAATGTCAGCAAGAGGCTCATAAAGGCCAACAGTCTAGGACTCACCTTGCGCTTTCGGCATGACTCGCACGCTTGCTGAACCTGCTTTCGCTTCAAGGGGAGACCTGAAGGGTCGGATTCGACAAATTTGACGGTTTTGTTGGAGCTAGCCATGGCTTGATGTGAAAGGGGAAGGGCTGCAAAGCACAAGGACTCGCATCTTAGCTAGGTTCACTAATCTATGCGCAGCCGTTAGAAATCTGAAGGCAGGGCAGGTGATTGTCAAGGTGAGCTTGGAGGTGGATACGGAGGAGTTCACTGGGATAGACTGAGATGGATTACATAAGATGCTATTTTCGCATTTGACTGTCACGTGCTTGCCGTTCGACTCACCAGGTGAAGGCATGCCAAGAGAAAACAGCATGAGGAATCACCAAGACTGTACCTTCTGAGGCACTCACTCCATCCCCCCCCCTTTCCCTTCCTTCAGAGATACGATTACCCCGGTGAATACTACTCTGGCCACCGTGCATCAAAGTGGCAACTGCGGCTCGCCATTGCGCAGACTAGATTACAAAATTGCAGACCACCCATCCATCCATTCATCCATCTGCTGGAAACCGTCATTTGTACACTTGCTTCTGCGTGCCCCGGTCCGCCAGCATGTTGATAAAAGGAATTCGAGCAAAACCTCGCCGTCAGGTCTTCTCCGGCGCCGATCCCTAATACTGATATTGTCCGTACTGCTGCGAAGGGGGGGCTGTATATCCAGAGTAACCATTCGGTGGCGGCGGCCAGCTCGAAGGGGCACCGCCTTCAAACTGTGGCGCACTCGGCGGCGGCCACTGGCCTGGAGGTGGTTGCGTAAACTGCTGCTGCGTATCTTGGCGGTAGGCCCCAGAACTACCTTCAAATGTGGCACCAGGCTCTGGTCTCAAAGGTGAGTTCCTGTAGGCTGATTGCGAGGCGATGCGGCGGCCTGCAGCGCCTTCGTAGGGACTAAGTGGGCGGGGGTTTGGCGAATCCCGTGCCCCAGAAAAAGAGTTGTAAGATGAGTAGTCTCCGCCGGAAGGCTGACGGCCATGAGCCGAAGGCCCTCCACGAGACTGTGCCCCGTTCTGCCGCATGCCTTGATCCTGGTTCGCCTTCCACGTACTGTAATCGGGCACGGGGGTGTCTCGCAGAAGGTTCACGAGGCCACTGGTGCTGAAGAGCTGGGCATTGTACGAGTGTGTCGGGGGTAGGATACCAAGGAAAAATGTGATGTCTCGAGCAAGTGGTGCGCCCTGGTTCTGACGCTGCTGGTCAAGACGGCGACCTGCTGCGCCCTTAAGAGGCGACTGTCCACGAGCGAGCTTGCGCGGGCGGTTGTATTCCTCCTGGTCATCGCCGGGATAAGGTCTTTTCGGAGAATTTGTCGTACCGAGGTACTGAGGCGCTGGGCTCGCTGTCTGTCGAACGGTAGTAGGAGCGGGCGCCGGCACTGGCACTGGTACAGGCGGAGCTACTGGCAACGGAGTAGCGTCACGGACAGAGGTGGCCTGCTCAATCGAGGGCATGATGAGATTGGGCCGCAGCTGGACGGCAGGTGAGATAATCAGTCGGTAAGCAATAGGGTCGAAGCTGTCGACAGAGTACCGCTCTGTAAAGTGAGAAAGTTTGGGATCTTCTGGCCAAAGCTCCGCCATACGCCGTTCCAGTGCCGCGACAGACGACAGCTCGCCGAACTGCGCCTCATACTTGTGGAAGTATTTGTAGAGCATCTTGGCCCGGTGCTTCTTCTCGGGCTTTTGCGTTAAACGGTTGACACACGTTTCGAACACGACGCGAGCGTCTACGAAATGTTAGCTGTGAACGATGCAATGCTGACCGTACCACTCACTCGTTGTGTCGTCCTTCAGGTGCAAGTACTTGATGTACTCCAGCATAAAACCTTCATCCTCGGGAAACAGCTTGGCGCCACGGTCAAAGATCTTGCCACCTGCAGGATCCTTGTATACCACTGACTCTATCAAGGCGACAGCCACATAGACATCGCTTGTCAACTGACCCTTGCCACGGGCTTCGGTGAAGACCTGCCTAAGGCCCTTGGTCTGTGATCCCTTGCCCTGCGTGCGACGCATCGCGCGACAAAGAGCGATCCAGATAAAGGAAATAGTACGCTTCAGCAGTTCAGTCTGAAGGCTGAAGCCCTGTTTGACAGCCTGGGTTCGCTGCTCGAGGGCAAGTGTCTGATCCTGGTCGTCATTATCATCCCCGTCGTTACGCCCAGCGTGCTCCGTCGCTGCCTTCTCGATCTTGGCAAGCTCGTTCTTTTCGCGTTCCTTCAACTTTTGCATCATATGATAGAGCGTCTCCAAGACTTGGTCATAGGGCTCGCGGATTGCTTTTGCTCGCTCCTCCTTGCTTTCCTCAGTATCGGCAACGGGAAGTGTCATTTCAATCCGGTCGCCGTGTTTGAGAGCCAGTAAAACGCTCTCGGGGTTTGCCGCAATGCCGTCTGTGAGGAACTTGATGCCCAAATCGACCCCGTCTTTGAAGATGTTGTTCTCAAAACACCACTCGGCAGCGTCCACCCACATCTCGGGCCAGAAACGCAATGCCATCAGGGCCTGCTTGTAAACGTAGAGAATGCGCTGCTTCAGTACCTCGGGTTCGTCATCCGCAAGAACGAGCGGGTCTTCTTTTTCCCACTGAATCCACTGCTTCCAGATGTTGACTTGTTCCGTGTACTCGGTAGCGCCAGCAAAACCTGGTGCTGGAGGAAGACGGGGCAGGGAAGTGCGGTTGAGGTTGCCAATCTTGCGATCCATTTGAAGGGAAGCAGACTTGGCCGTCATGTAGCCAGGCGACCTCTTCTGGATGAATTGCCGGCCCGTAGCTTTGTTCAGGCCCAATTCAAACTGATCGTAATCCTTCCAGAGCTCCGTGAGGGCTGACATGGGCACAGTAATAGCACGATGGTAAGCTTTGCGCAGCTGGTCCATCTTCTGCTGGTCCTGCCAGCCAGGGCCACCGACAACGCCAGGCCCGCTCTTGATAAACTGAATCCAGTCCTTCCACAGTGAGCCGGATTCGCGGTCCATGCCCACGTTATCGATGATGAATTCGTAGGATTGGCTGATGACCTGGCGTGCCTGGCCGTTGGGATCGTTGCTAAGGTCATTTCGGCGGCGGATGTAGTTGATATAGGTGGTCCACAGCTGAACATCTGAAACGGTGAGAAGGCTGCGTTGGAAAAGTGCCTCGGCGGCAGTTGTATTCATGCTGTCGAGTTCAAGCTTGATCCACTCAACCCATATGTCGGCCTGGAATCGTCAGCATGGCGGAAGAGATGCGCGCGCTGATGGAGGGACTTACAGCTTGTGGGAATGTTGTGACAAAGCGGTCGTAGGCCTGGCGCAGAGCATCGACCTGGCTAAGGCGGCGGAGCTCTGCGAAAGAGCGCAAGCCATGCGTCCATATCGCCTCGAGGGTCTTCCTTGATCCGATCCTCAAGTCGGCCGATCACGTCACCTGGATCCTGCCAGCAGTTATTGTGGTAATCTGAGGTGCGCTTACGCTAGGAGAAGCGCTTGTGGCCAACGCGGGCGCGGAAGCAGCAACAACTGAAGCAGGAGGAGCATAAGGCCCGCCGTTGACCGGCGTGGACGAGGCGCCCACTTGGCCCTGGTTGGGAGTTGACACATTCAGGGCGGATTGTGGGCGGGAAATGGAGGCCACCTGACCTAGTGCAGAGTTGGAACGGGGCGCATCATCGTCCTCATCGTCCGAGTCTCCCACTAGGAATCCTCCAGACACTTTGGGCTTTGCAGCCCTTGGCTTGGCCGGCGCGGCCGGCGCGGGGGCAGTGGCAGGAGTAGGGGCGGAAGCAGGTTCTGTAATCTGAGGGATCGGTGTGATCGAAACGGACTCGGGGTCGTACTCGGCGCCATCGTCGCTGCCATCACCTTCGCCATCGTTGTCATCGTCTTGCTGCTGTTCCTCCAGCTCCTCCATCTCATCCTGTTCCTCTATGTCCTCTTGATCGTCCTCTTCGCCATCCTCGTCATCGTCGCCTTCTTCTGGTTCTTCTGGTTCACCGTGGGAAGGTTGAGCAAGTGCAGAGTCGGGTTCTTGATCTTTTTGGTCACTATGCTGAGTCTCATTGGCACCCTCATACCCGTCTTCCTCCTCTTCTTCCCAGGAAGCACCTTCGAACTCTTGCTCGTTTTCTTGGGGGTCCGGAGTCGCCATAACGGCAGAGACAGGCGAGAGGGTGTCGACCTAGAGCTACACCAATGGTTCTTGGAAGCAATTCGTTTCGAGCGTGGGCTGGCGGTCGTCGATTGTCGAGAGCGTCGTCGATGGTCGTCCGAATACGAGTACCGAGCTTGGTCAGTGGAATAAGCAGCGGAAAGGGAGCTGAAACACGGCAAATCGTCGGCGGACACAGGCCGACAAAAACGGTAGCTGTAGAGCAGGTCGTATGCGCTGGCACTCCCTCGCCGTGAGAGAATGGGCTGGCGATGGGCTGGCTGGCGTGACAAAGACAGCGATGAGGAAGGTTGGACAGCGCAAAAAGTCAGAGGGCTGACGCCAGAAGCTTGAGCCGTGGAAAGAACTGGGACAGTAGGCACGACCCTGGCAGAACGACCAAAAGAGGGCTAGCGGACAGGGCGGTCGCCAGGCAGAACATCGGCGGCAGGGGCTCCCTTGCACCTTCCCTAATATAGACTAACCCAACGGCAGCGACCACTCTACGCGAAAATCGCGGGTCGTGGGCCTGGCCGACCCAGGGCAGGCGCGTTCCCCAGGGTCGCTTGGTCAGGAAAGCACAAGCAAGCAACCAGGCAAGCAAGGAAAGCAAGACAAGTGAGGAAAGTGCGATGCAGGCAGGTCCAGGTCCCAGTCTGGGGGCAGGTACAGGTCCCCGCCCGTCGTCCCGCCATCACAGAGATCAACCCCCCCTCTAGGGCCATTTGCGATAGGCGTCTGTTTTGGCTCTCCTCATCCAATCTCACCACCATTCATCCCTCTTCTTCTCACACAACCGTTTCTGCCCCCCCCCCTCCTCAAGCAAAACAACAACTTCCCTCCCTTCCTCCCTCTTGCCCGCTCGCGTCTATTTGAGTCGTTCCGTGCGCAGATCCGTTTCCCATTTTCTCTTCTTCAACCACCGTTTTCTCGATACCCACTTGTCGCCTGCACGCAACGCCCGCTTCACCGCTCTCTTGCCTCCCCGCTTCACCACTTCCAACATGTCGGTTGTCTCGCTTCTTGGCGTTCGGGTCCTGAACAACCCTGCCAAATTCACCGACAAGTACGAATTCGAGATCACCTTCGAATGCCTTGAGCAGTTGCAGAAGGGTATGTGTACCTTGCGATGTCTGGCGCGTGCTCCTTTGCGCGTCTCCCTGTCCATGAGCGTGCACGTCACTGACTCGAACCGCCTTGTGTGCAGATCTCGAGTGGAAGCTCACCTACGTCGGTTCCGCCACAAGTGACCAGTACGACCAGGAACTCGATGACCTTCTTGTTGGTCCTATCCCTGTGGGCGTCAACAAGTTCATATTCGAGGCTGGCGCTCCCGACACCACGCGCATCCCTGACGCCGATATCCTCGGTGTCACTGTGATTCTCTTGACCTGCGCCTACGATGGTCGCGAATTCATTCGCGTCGGTTACTATGTCAACAATGAGTACGACTCGGAGGAGCTCAACGCCGAGCCTCCCTCCAAGCCCATCATCGAACGCGTTCGCCGCAACATTCTGTCCGAGAAGCCCCGTGTGACTCGCTTCGCCATCAAGTGGTTCGTGGCCTTGCTGTCGGTCCATGTGTGTAGCACGACGCTAATTATGTACTCAGGGACTCTGATGCTTCTGCCCCGGCCGAATTTCCCCCTGAGCAGCCCGAGGCCGACCTTGCCGCCGATGAGATGAATATGGTGCCGAGGAGCGCGAGAGGAGGAGGCTGATGCCAACGGCGCGAGGGTGCTGATGCCAGCGCCAACGGCGAGAGCAAGGTCGCCATCCCGGCTGAAGACTCTGAGATGGCCGGTGTCGAGACAGAGAACGGCCAGAACGGTGAAGCTGACAAGGACGGCCAGAACGGCAAGGCCGTCGGCGACGCTGAAGAGGACGAGGTTTCTGATGATGGCAGTGTCGATATTGAAGGTGAGAGCGAAGACGATCTCGAGGACGAGGAGCTCGCAGAGGGCGAGGTCGAAGGCGATGCCATGGACGAGGACGTCATGGACGTTGACGCTGCCGACAAGGTGGTTGGTGCGGCTGCTCCCCAGGTTCAACCCACCGAGATCAAGTCTCACTAGGAGCCGCCTTCACAGACGGCCGTGACAACGGTCTGACCCAAGGCCTATTCTGGATTATGGTTGGATCTGGAACGCGTGGAAGGGTCACTGGATGGACGATGAAAACATGGCTCGCGGGAACTATGAGCCGGACGAGCGTATTTGCTGAGACGAACCTTGTTATGACATGGATGACTGCACAGGAATGAAGAAGCTCAATGACATGTGGCTTGTCCAGAGCGGATTAATGGACGCGGGACAGCATTGGGAGCCCCGGCCAGTGCTTAGATACCAGGCAGTCCCTAGAATGTGGAATGCAGCTGTTTTTCTATAGGGGAGGTGTCTTAAAGTTGACGAGCGCCAAGAGGGCAAGGTTGCTAGGGCGTTTACTAGCTTGTGACCCCAAGCGTCCCGCACCAAGGCCCCCTTTCGGCTACTCAAGACGCATATCGGGTTCGATCTTGCACTTTCAGCAGAGGGCCCGTGTGCTGTGTAGGATATTGCACCGGAGTGGCATGGGCTTGGCAACATGTCATGAGGACTGATGGGGCTCATCAGCATCTTGGGGAACAGAAGAAGTCGCTTACGTTGGATCAAGCTTTAAGCACCGACTCGTTCCGCTGCCTCGGGGGGTTTGGGTCATTGCAGTGAGGCGGCGCGCGCTGGCCATTCACTATCTCGGCTTGTCATCATTCGGCTGTGCCGAGAACAGCCGCCTCAGCGGCAGGATCAAGCTCGGGGCCGCGAGACACCGAAGAGTTGACAAGCGAAAGGACGACGCCATCGACAGCCCCAAAAACGATGGGCCGCTGCCTTGCTCCGCCTAGCTGCCGAACTTCGGCTCTGAAGCCTGGCCCAGCTGCGTTCAGAAAGCTCACCCAGCCTTGCAGAAAGTGAGCCGGAATCACCGGAGAAACTGGCTCTCGACTGACGACATGAAACGGCGCGCGGCCCGAGCCTGTCGTCTAAGGATACCTCTCATGATGAGCTCGCATGCGTTGGTTACTGTCACAAGAAGCTGTCGTCCTAAACTGGCGGATGACCCGTTCATTGTCCCGCCCACCCCCATGTCACCACGCCCATCGTTCGAGGCTGGCACAGCACAGCCGCACTGATCGACCACTTGTTCATATGAAAGCTGCCTAGGCTAATGCACAGCACGACCATGGCATTTCTATCCATTTTACTCTGTCCAGCAGGGCGAATGCTTGTGTCATTTGCGACTGTAAGGCTGGGTATCCGCCGCCAAAAGGTGTAGAAAAGGCAGCGATGTCTGATCAATTTCCTCTCACTGCACCCACTATTTCGTCTCACGTCTTTTGCCTTCCGTCCTTGACGTAGAAAGACGCGTGAGGCCATTGGCAATATGGCCGGCCACCAGAACCCTGACGAGCTATTGCGTGCTGTCGAAGCATCTCACGAGCAATACCTGCGTAGCTTGCGCACCCTGCACGACGCCCTGGCATCGTCCGTTCGCCAGCGATCCGAGTCGCGCTCGACAATCCCTGTCTCGCCTCTGCTGAGACCTGCGAGCAGTCCAGCCTTAAGCCCTCAGCTCCTTGGCGATGCGACCTTTCCATCGCAGTCGCCTGGCCCAAGAAGCCGTCGCCCGACTCTCGACCCAAATGAAAGGCGGCCGCAGTTCCTCAGCATTGAGAGGAAGCACACTCCAGCCTCACTGCACTCGGAATACGAGGTAGAGTTCCTACCGCTCCTCGACCCGGCAGCCCCGCAACGTGGCAATGGATACGCTCCGGCTGTGCCTCGCCCCATCGAACGTCGCTCGTGGACCGACGGCGAGCTGATGCGGCATCTCAAGCGCACCGAATTTCACGGCGTGGCTGAGGTGGCCATCAAGGACATCTTGGACAAGCAGTCTGATATCGATGAAAATGGCGACTTTGCCAGCTTTGCCGCCTACGAGCATGAGGGCTTCATCAGCTCGACTCTCGAGCTGTACGACATTGATGCCGATGGACTAGCAACGCCGGTTGGCAGGCAGCCAAACCACCAAACCCCTGGCTTACCCCAGGTTATCACGCCCAGTCAGATCGTCGACGCCCCGACAGTCTGGAATGCCCTCAAAGAAATTCACAGCAACGGCCAGGCCGTCGGCCTCATGACGACCCTTCAGGAACCCACGCCTCTCATGCTTGAAGCGCTTCACCTTACCATGTCACCATACTTTGACATGACAGAGCTGTTGAGACACTTCACCACAGACACAGAAAACAAGGGCAAGACGCGCGCCTATGTAAACCGCGCCTTTGTCAAGGATGACACACCAAACAAGGTGCGTCAGCGATCGGCCTTTTTTGTTTTCAAGTACTACACCGTCGTGGGCGAGGGACTCGAGCCTGCGGCCTGGCAAAAGTACGATAAGCGGCCATCAGACGCGCGATCTCTCGATCACATTGACATTGCTGAGTGCTCGTCCGTCCTGGCCCTTTCTTTGGCCGGCCCGGCCGTGCAGTCTGTCAAGATTTCGAAGCGTCGCGAAGGCCCCCAGGAGGGTCCAGTCTTCGACCCATTCGCGCCCTGGCATCTATTGAGCCTCCAGTCGTTCCCGGACGACGAGCACACGGTGCGGTCTGAAGATGATCTGCCGCGGCGTCGCTTCCCTAGCGGACCACACGCTTTTCTCGACGCCCTGGCCGCCGAGTACCGCGACGCGACGCGGCGCAACATCGCCATCCATGAACGCATCACTAAGCTCATCACGCCGCCAACTGACTTTATGTTTGACCCGTCACTTCGCGACAAACTGCTCTTCGAGGACAAGCGGTTCACGTATATTCGCCGCTACTTCTGGGCCTATAACACACTTGGCGTCATCAATGCCGGCCTGCGTGCCATGCTCGCCGCCTACGCCGACTCATTCACAGACGACTTTTGGGCCGGGCGCCACTCAGCTGTCTGGCCGCACCCGGACCCCGACGGGCCCGATGCCATCGCCTGGCGTGAAACCATGGCCGGCCTGCGCACCGAGCTCGAACGCGCCTGCCGTGATCTCGAGCACGTTGCCCAGCGCAACACGGCGACGCGCAAGGAAATCGAAAATCTGCGCGACCAGCTTTTCAGTGGCAGCTCCATCAAGGAGAGCCGTCGCGCCATCGAGCAGGGCGACAACATCAAAATTCTGACCCTCAGCTCCATGGTCTTCCTCCCGCTGACGTTTGTGACGGTGAGTAGCTTTATCTTTTTATCTCCTCTTGCTGAACTGCTCCCTTCATGGAGGGGGAAAGCGGGAATTGAGCTGACGAAGTGACAGTCCGTCTTTGGCATAACAGAGTTCACCATCCCCCCCTCGGACTTCCGCTTCGCCCTGACAATGGTCCTCGTCTGCGTTCCCTTCATCCTCCTCCTCATCCTGCTCCAGACGCGCACGGGCTACTCCCTCTTCAAGCGTGCCGCGGACCGCATCCGCCGCGCCCGCGACGACCTCGTGCGCAAGCTGCGCGGCCCCGAACCCGTGGCGCCGTCGCCCCGCGCCCCAGGTCGCGTGCAGACACTCACGGGCGAGGTCAAGCCGAGGCGCAAGAGGCGGCTGACCGTGCGGCGAGGGCCTGAGGACGCTCCTGACGGCGAGGCCGACGGCGAGGGGTGGATTCGCTGGGGATCGTGGCGATGGAAGAGCGGCGCCGATGGCAAGACGGTTGAGGTGAAGGAGGACACGGCTGCGAGGCGCGGGGATCGATTGAAAGTGACTGTCTGATTCATTCTTCCGTGCTCTTGTTTCCTGCTCACATCACGCCCATGGGTGGTCCTTCGTAAGCCAAGGCCATGCTGTTACTTTTTTCCTGTTACGACCACATCGGCGTTCAATTGATATACCCACACTGTCTTCTTTCGGAGCGCATCGATGGGGGTAGCCAGATCAAGTCAAATTTTCTGCTTTCAAAACACTGCAAATCCGTTCAGTCCAGTCAATTTCGTGAGAGGACATGAAATAGAGCCAATATTATCCACTATTAACACAACCAAGAAACTATGAGCTGCAGCGTCCGACAGGTCGGACCATCTGATCACCGATTATGTGTTCCCCTGTGCTTCGTCTCCGTGATCGATTGGTGCCTGCCCCTTTCGCCTCGCTAGCAAAGCACTCCACCATCCGGCCCAAAATCCAAAAGACCCGCGGACCAGCCGAGCCCCAAACTTTGGAAACATCGCCACTCGCATGCTTAGCCATAAAATAAGGGGCGTAAGAATTAGGGGATACGTAACAGGTATATAAATGCAAAGAAACGACTCGCATTGCAGGATCAGTCGGGAAAAGAAACAAGCCGAGCGCGTCGCAACGATCGCTTGGCGGCGGACGCCTCGATCCAAGCCTGGTCGGACAAACCCTTGGACTTGCGACGCACGACCTCGAGGGTATAAAAGACGCCGGAAACGCCAAAGCCAAGTCATTCGAGGGGGGGTATTTCCTGTAGCAACAGCACAAGCTGCAGGTCGTCTCAAACATGGTCTACCATCCCTTTTTCCGCGCGAAGCGTTTGTTCAGAAGCGCCAACACCGTGGGCACGTTGAATTGTACGTATTCCAGGTCAGGATCGTCCTGATTATCCTTTTGCATCTCAAGAAGATCGTCCAACTTCAGATCGGAGTCAAGGAGCCTCG